TGTATCAGGTTGTGTCTTGGAAAGGTCTCACGTAAAATCTCAACAATAACAACACTTTAAAAAGAGAAGCAGCATTTTGAAATTTTATTCTGAATTTGGAATTGTAGTTCCATATGGGAAAACCGCACTCTGACAATTTCAAAACAATGACTACTCAAACAAGAAGCCCCCCTGCTCTTGTTGTAGCTACTTCACTCTAGATGTAAGGAATATAACAGTACATGCTCAGCCCATTTGTTACCCTGGCATTGTTTACTACTAATTCAGAAATTAAGAGTTCCAACTTTCTACATGAAAGCAACAAAGGATGGATGACAAAAAATAAATGAAAAAAATAATAACAGAAGGGGAAAGAAGCATAGAAAATTTGAAAATTAGGAAGAAGGTAATTCTGATTTAGAGACAGCATTTGGAACCTGCAGACATATGACCAAACCTACACACCTAAAGCATAGTAGATACGTGCATCATCCAGATGTTTGAAAGAATGTTTCTAGTTTCATATACATTGTAACTTGGTAGCATTACCTTTGTCCAGTCTTGCAGCTTGTGCCAGCTTTTTCTGAGCCTTCCCTTTCAATTGCTGGAGGGGAATTGAAGCTAGTGCTTTCTGCTGAATAGAAGGATTCTCGTACATCAATACAAGATGCTCAAATTTTGTTTGAAGTGTTTTCAAGATATTTGCAGCCTGCAAAAGGATTTTTCAGTCACAAGATGATTTATGAACTTCCACCTTAAGCCAGAAGAGCCAAGCTCTCCTATTTTAGTTTAAGTCAGTCATAACTCTATACTCATAGTTAATGTATTTCTTTACAGGTGAAATGTTTATTTGTAAAGATACCAATAAGAATGGCAGACACCACCACCCAAACTGTAAAGCCAGCCTTGTCATCTTTGAGCATTCTGAACGGTGTCCTGAGTGAAAAGTGTACTGACTCAGGAAGAAAACTGCTTTTAAAGACACCTCTGATGGCAAAAGTTTTGACTTACTCCCTCCCCCTTTATTTTGGACACCTTTTAGCTGAAATCCACAAAAGAACCTGTAATTCATTCCATTTCCTGGACACTGCTGCACCAGTTCACAGAACTCTTCTTATTGATGAATGCTACTTTTCTATTTCTTATCCATGAATGCCATTTGTCTATTTCTACTGGCTTCTCTCACGATCAACTCTGATGCAGATTTGAATAGACAGCCCTGTGACCATATACTGAACAGTGTATTTCACTAGAAATGGAGTATAGGACCTAGGCTTCTTCAGTCAGTTATCCTAAGCGTCACTTAGTGGCAACTACATGTTGCACCCAATAAGGTACATCTGTATCTACTAAAATAAATAGCTAACATTAAAAATAGTGGAGTTAGTAGCTGAGCAAACTATTTACTCCCATTTAAAGGGGGACAACACAGAAAGTGAAATGACATTTTAAAATCGGCTGGCATATTTTGGGGGGAAGACTATGGCACTGCTAAATTACCTTTTCTCTACTGCTAGATCACGCTTCAGTCTTTAGCCTTAACTACCATCTTTGTTTCATCAAACCACAGTTGCCTGAGATGCTAGCAGCAAATGCAAGATAACAAACAAGTGTGAGAACTCTTCAGAAGAGAACTTCTTTCAAAGCAGCATTTAAAGTAGCAGTGATTATTTTGATGCTGGACAGTACTATCAGACCAGCCCTTACCTTTCATAACTACTGAAACAGAACAGAACTGGTTTCGCTCTTCCTGGAGCTCATTAGCTATAGGCAACTCGTTTAACATCATGAACCCAACTGTGTTCAGATTCGCTTCAATGCAAGTTGAAAGAATGGAAATAAGGGAAGTTAGGGACTGCCAATGGCTTATAGATCTGTCAGCTTCCTGAAAGTGTTCAGAGATACCGCTCAGCACAGCAGAAACTCTCCTAGATTCTTCAACAATTCAGATTTTCCCCACTGGCAAACACCATCAGGGTCACAGTAGCCCTTAACTGGTTTCGTGGAAGCCACCGTATATCAATGAAGTCTTACATAAACATCTAGAAGTGTGGTGAAACTCACTGCGAATCTAAGTTTGGATACCTCTTTCCTCCTATAATCACTATGTCATCCAGGAAGGGATCAAAATCCATCTACCAGAACAACGACTAGCCAAAACTTTCCTTTCTTCAAGTCTCAAGTACGCCTTATGACAAGAAATGCAGAAGAGACACAGATGAGGCAAAATAACCATGGGTTAAGTCCCTAGAACTGTGCCATTTAGCAATATTCCTGTGCTGTCTCAAGTAAGCCACTTTTCCCTGTGCTTACCAAGGCTCCCATGAACCACAGGTGTAACACATAGGCAAGAAATAAAAATGCTTGCACTACAAAACCCACTCTCAATCGCTCTGACATCTGACAGCAGCGCATAAAATAATACACAACTATACCTCTGCAATATACTCACTGAAAAACAAAACACCTACTGCAGTTCAAGAAAAGTGGCGAAGTCGAAGCCAGAAGTATATTTTATGGACTTCCTCCCAATCAACTCAGACTACACAGACCCAATTCAATGGCTCAGAGAGCTATCAGTATAATTCCCTGAAGAGATCAGCTGAAATACAGCATTCTAATAGGCTGCCAACATTGCACTAGCAATGTCTCTAAATTGTAGTAACTTTGGTGCCACCACCCATGTTGAATCTCAAGCAGCATGGAAAAATAATAGTTGCAGAGAAACAGATCCACAACTGATGGTTAGTGTACGTCAGAGCAGGATAACTACAATTGAGAACGATTAACCTCAGACTACTTCATGTCAACTTGAAATCTGCAACATTTTTCTCACTGCAAGATCAATGCAATTTTTAAAGCTTTAAAGCTTCCAGTACTAACCAGTGGTGCAGCAAGTCACGCCAGAGGTTTTATAATCACTTCCAACACCAGTGCAGAAGTAGCTGAAACAGTAAAAACCAAGAAGCAGACCAAAAAAACCCAAAAACCACCAAAAATCTGAAAACCCAAGCAAATTCAAATAAACCCAGTCAGTGTATTTTAGATGCAACTACTAGCATAGATATATGCTAGTATATATATGCTAGTTTAACATAGTTAGATTAAATAGCTCAATATTCAAGCGCCTAGAACAGTTCCTTTCCCAAAAGCCATTATGGGTGATGATGGGTCAACTGAGTGCTCTCTCCCCGCCAAAAGCCATCACTTCAGTCTATGCTTTTGCCATTTCTCTTCCACTGATCTTGGGTAGGTATTGGGAAGAAATAGTATGCCATAGTTCAGTACCCAACTATATACTGATACCATTTAAAAGAGATAACCTCTGTTTAAGGATGTATGAGAAGCCAGCTTTTGGAACGATTCATCTTATACCAACTTTAAGACCAAAGTGACACTGGTTCTAGGGGGAAAAGCTCTTTAGAAAGTTAAACCAAAGCATCCTTCAAACCTTCTGTCAAAAAGTATAACCTCATTTTTCAAAGTTGTATAAAGTGTTAAGAATCTTCTCCCATCGGGCCAGATAACACCAGATGAAAGGACTCTGCCTCTCTGTCTTGATAGGGAACTTCATCTCAACTGCTTGGACAAGGGAAACGCAGCCTAAGTAAGAATAGCTTTGTCCTTGACTGGCTAAATTCCGGTCTCTCACAACGGTCACATTTGAAAAAAGAAAGCCCTCCTCACAAGATACACATAGAGGTCATAATGCATGACCCGAGACACCAACAATTATAAACATTACGGTTGTGCGCCTGTTCTTTTGCTGGCTCTCAAATAGCAAACACAGCATACAGCCCTAGTCTTAGCTTCCCACCTCTCCCTTTGTTCTTCTACCTTCCTGCTCCCTTCTGATACAAATCAGCTTTTTTTTTTTTCTCACAACACCCTGACCAAGAAAACATTTACGGACCTCTTCAACAAAATCTCTTGCTAATATTCTATTTATGGCTTGTTTCATGTTGAAGTTGCATGGAGACCAAAGAAAACACTCAAAAACTTCAGAAGCCATTGGAAAAAATAAAAAAAATTCCTCTAGTCCAAACTCCTGCTCAAAGCAGGGTTAGCTATGAGGTCAGACCAAGCTGCTCTGGGCTTTATCCAGTCAGGTCCTGAAAACACCCACATTTGGAGACTAGACAGACTCTGAGCAACCTGCCCCAACAGTTAACTCTTCTTCAATCTTTATATTCAAGACTAGCGTGCCTACAAAGTTTTCAGGTTATAATTACCATTTCAAGAGACTGTACAAGTGATGTTTCTGGTTGCTGACGGGCACGGGCAAGAACAGAGTCAGCAGGTCTTGAAGGCTGATGTGCAACCCTCTGAGTGCTGGCCACAGTTTCAGAGGATCCCGATCTGTAGACTTGGTTTGACTCATTCAGTCTACTACTCCTCTCTCCAGCAATTAAGTCTCTGATTTTACGTAGCTGCTCAATCGAAGCTTCCTTAGGGAAAACCAGGTGAGTTTCTCCCTGAAATTCAGACAAATTAATTCAGCAGTTAATGCAAGTCTAAGCTAGTGAGCTGTTTATACCTATAGCTAACAGCTATATCATTTACTCGCAGTTAGCACGCTAAGGCTTGGCAGGATTCGGCCTTCAGATGAGGTCCCTTATAGCAGAAGCTTGTAGGTCCCTCACAGCAGAAGCTATTCGATCAAGATCTACAGACAGTGTAGAGAAAAAGGGCTCACAATGACATGCTTTTGTTAGTAATTTATTTTGCAGAGCCACACATGGACAACACAATTATGGTTTGGCAGAGAAAGCAGCAGCAACAGAAATGAACAACAAATGCTCAGTTCTCACAGCAGAGCAGTAAAATACTGGCAACACAGGAGCGTAGCCAATGTTGGGGGAAGAAGCCTCTAGAACGGCATCTGCTGGGAATTCTCTTCTATACCACTATCTTCTAGGTTTTATAAGTTTTCAGACAGGAAATATTATTCGTATTGAGACCTGTACCCAGCTTGATTTCTGGGTTCCTATTTTTGATTGTAACATGATCACTGGTAGCATAACAAAAGATTAGTAATTATGACAGAAGCAAATATCAGTGTGCATGACATGAAGAAATAGGTTACTAAAAACATGAGTATCCTGAAGTATTCATACTTTGATAGTTTCAGCTTCTACCACTGCAGCACTTCTATTTATTAAACTGAATAATCTGTTTATCCACAGTTACCTTAGGTCATCTACCATTGCAGATGCAGTGCTTCACTTACATTCCATTTAGTTTTGTGGCGATTGTATCAATCCAGCAGAAGACTCCTCATTTTTTAATTGAAAAAGTTGGCTTACCAAGCAGAGACAAAAGAAGGACAATTTTAGTTATCACAGTTGAAGAGAAGTTCGTGAGCTCCAGCCTCAATTAACACAATAACCACAAGACTGAGCTGACATGCTCTTAAAGATCTGACAGCAGTGGGAGGAATACTTTGTAATATGTTTAAAATGACTATGTTATTACTGCTTGAGTGCTACACTGACCATCTCTTGGCTAAAACACATCATTAGAAGTCATCTCCTGAGCACCAGCATGAGAATAAATCCACAGACCATTTCTCCCTGTACAGTCACCATTTCTTTCAGCATACTTTTCTTTTTTTGTAATTAAGACAATTACACTCATTAACTTTACCGAAAGAGAAAGCAGAGGTCTCATGACAGCTGCACCTCAATAACATAACATATGTACCCATACAGAAGCGTGGCATCAAATAGACAAATAAAAGCAGAGCTAGAGCAAGAGATTTGCACCATTAAACAAGAGCTGGGTTTTCACTCCAGCTCTCCTGTAATTACAAAGGCTGCTTCCAGCTTAACAAGCTTTAGCAGTTTAAGTTCCACCAAGACAGGGACCATTTCAGGACACAAAGCAATCTTCAAAATACTGCTACAGAATCAAGATTCACTCAAGACTATTTTAGGATACAGGGTCATGACTGTTTTAAATGGGTAAAAGTCCCACCCTCCCACTACTTCAAGTCTGCTGCCTACCACTGCTGTCATGACAACACCATTACTTGTGCAGCTGCACTGTGAACTGCTGAAAAATTTGGGTTTTTATTTTGGGGGATCAATTTTTAATCAGATCAGCTTCCCTTGTCTAACTCACTGTGGGGCCATACAAGCCCTAGTGGTGGTAGGAACAAGCAGCAGAAGAGGAGGACTTCCCTCTCCTCCTCCCCTTCCAAACGATGGTTTCAACACACATATTTACAATATGGAAACTACTGTCTGATGGTGCAGTCTGATGTCCACCTAATAGTGGGCTGCTACTAAGAGAAGAGGTTTTCACCCCATTCCCCACCATTTCCTTTGTGTAAGCATGGATACGTATCTGACCATTAAGCAAACTAAGAGTGTGCCTGAACAGCAGAAACCAAATCTTGTCACAGCTCAGGTCAGCTCTAGCTCCATCAGATTTCTGAACTAGCCTCATCCAAATTTTCTGTTGGTTAACTGCAGATATTCAAAGAAGCATTGAAAGAAAATAGCAACTGGGTTAAAATCTAGTGCCTTGCAACTGGGAAGGCAGAAAAAAGAAAGATCAAATTTTAAATTTCAGCGTGTAAACTGATGAAAACAGCAGAAATTACTAAATTGTACTCACCTCTTGAAAGCCCATCTCAAACAAACATTCAACTGCTCCTCTGACAGGCAACAGCCTCGTTGAAAATGCTGGATTTCCAATCCGAATCAACCTATATTTTTCTTCATAAGGATTCCTGAAGAAATTGAAAGTTTTAATTATGTTTGCAAATTAAGTAAACACTTAAAAGCTGGGTAACTGCACTAGGTAGCATTAGTCTTTCATAAGACATTTTTTAAAAGCTTAGTTTTATTCAGGCCATGTAGCCAGAATGTGAAATCAATCTAAAACATTGACTTAATTTCTGTCCTTCTGCATTTAACGCTGAGAGTTACAAGCTGATTCTAAATTTTAGCGTGCAACATAAGTTCCTGTTTTGTAGTCCAAGCCCACAGGGCTTAGTCTCCAGTGACACTTAAAGACAACTTCACATCCCCCTCCACCTGGTAGCATTCTAACTGAACCCCTCAGCTCCACGCTGGATGGTTTCAGGCCCACTACTGAAGCTATGCCAAATTTCCTGGTAGGTGGGTGAAACGACTGCGATGTCTTTACCTCTTGAGGGGCTACCTCTCAGTTCCCCTTTCAACTCTTCTAAACCTTCTTCTCTCACTTCTTTCTTTGGAAGGAGTCAGCCCAGGACCCACCGCTCTCTCTCACACAGCACCGCTTTTGCAAGCAGTTGACAAACCAGCTATAGACAGGGAGGGGCAGCTCGTCATCTTGAGTTGCTTGAACACATCAAGGTCAGTCATACCTACCGGCGTCTATGTATACCCTACGGAGCCACCTCACAAAAATTCAACTATAATTAACTCTTGATACCAATCTTACCGAGTCAGAAAAGAAAGGTAGTAGAAAAATCAAGTTACTATTTTAGCATTACTTGTTACGCATCCACTAATTTTTAGGTGCTTAAATGCTTGCAGAATCAGGGTCAACGCAAGCTTCTATGTTTACCACAAAAAACAAGCCCTCACAACAAACCAACCAGCAATATATGAGGAAATAAAAATCCAAGCCTCTACACACTTACATGAAAATAATCTTATTTTTAAATAGCAACAAAAAGACACAAGACGTTTCTGAACTTTGATATTACACAACAGAACTGAATGATGTGGCTCATCTTTGAGATGGGCTGTCTGTAAGCCCAGAAACGAATTACTGCGTGAGGGTATTTTAGGAGAGAGTCCTTCTGAAGGGGCATTAGTAACCCAACGGGAATTACTAAGTTCACAAGCTGACTCTCTTTTCTTACTGACTCG